CTTGGTTTTTAGAAAGTATTCATTACATTTTAAGGAAGCTGGTATGTAACATTGAATTTTTTGTATATTTTTTATTGTTGGATGGCACTGATATATTGATACGATTTTAGAATTCCATCTACACTCTTCACCGTATATACTTCAATTTTTTCCTTGTGATCCCAAATGATGTAATGTCCCCACAATCTAAATTTTAAGTGTAGCTGGGTAATATGTTACTGGTCAACACCTGTAGGGTGTGGCACTGTCAGACATTGACAGATCTGCACATTATGTCATGTTTCAATAAGGACCAATAATTCTGATATCCTGCAAAATATCTTTTCACAGTAAGTATGAGATGCATAAATGCAGTAGAGCTCTGTATGGTAAAACAGCTTGAACAATTCATTTATGTTCTTTGCCAGAAAAGTTGTAGATCAACTTATACATTTATTTGCTTTTAAGTAATTTGGGTACTGAGGTTAATCTTTATGGTATGGACACACGAAGCTTGAGCAAATTGACACAAATATTTTTGTAGAGTACTAAAAGTTGTAGTTGCTGGTAAAAGAAATAATGTAGATGAATGTAACAGCACAAATAAAGGTAAAAGATTGCAGAAAGTAGCACTCACAGTCTCAGTCCATTTGGTGCTCTCAGGTTTCAGCTCTATCTTACTGTATATACAAAAGTGATGACAATGGTGTCGTTGTGGAGGTAGGCGTATTGAGGGGCAGAGTCCCCAATCAAACCTCCCCCAGCCATGGCAACTTACATTAATGAATAAAGTTTGTGATGTGGAGGTGGGGACTTAGGGTAGTCTATGGCAAGTGCATCTGTACCATAAAGAATTACCAATACTGGATTAGTGTTCAAGAAGTTAGTACTTACAATATTAACCCCCTGGATCCAGATGATGTTGCCATCATGTCAAGGAAAAACTTGGACAGCTGTACGGATGACATGAACAAAGCATCAAGAGCAAAGGCCAGGGTGACGGAAAAGACTCGCCATGAGTGCACAAAGCTCTTGAAGTGTGATTTGACTTATTTGGCGCTTAGAAGGGGGCTTTAGCATTATTCCCATTGATAAGTGAACGTGGAATGTAATGTCTGTAAGCAGTGACTGGAAGAGCGCAGGCTCCAGGGAGGCCGCCATTTCACACCGTATTCTCGGCCACTGTGACTGGTGCTGCATGTTGTATTACTTAAAATTGAAAATTACCAAAAAATGAGATATATGACACAAATGACGAGTCTTTTCCATCACCATGGCCTTCACTCATGGAGACAAGTTCACATCATCCAGGCCACGACCAATTTGCCTGATTGACGGCATGTTCACATCACCCACCCCTCGACTCAAGTTTTTCCATGACCTGACCACAAAGTAATCCAGGTCCAATGGGTTAACACAGCCACTAGCTGATGGCAGCCTCCATGCCTATTAGTACTTTAGCCAAATTCACAAAGTTCTACCACATATTTTTTTAGCAAGATAGAACTGAAATTTTTTTGGCCATATTAATTTTTCATTCCACAGACTCGGAGGCAAAGGTAGTTGCTTAACACTTCACAATCTTTTTAAGTAGTAAGATTGTAAGATTTCCATCACAGATCACAGCAAGTTGAAAGTAGATTTGGTCAGGAGGTAGATTTATGAGAAAAGTCCTTATTTTGACAGTTCTTGTAGGTGTGCTGACGACATTTGTACACTTACGATTAAAACAACAGACTGGCATTTGATTTTATTGCGCAATTTACATTTTTAAATGTTTCAAAATATTTCTTAAGTTGAATATCTTTAGTTACCATTTCTATATATGTATGTATTAAGGAAACTATGCTCAGTTTGTATATTTTACCAAATCCTCAATGTGCAGTATATCTTCCCTTCAGATTCTTCCCAGCGATGACCCGTTTGATTCACCAGAGTTCAATACAGTGGAATACATCAACAACCGCTTTCCAGCAGAACAGTCACTCCATCACATAGATGATGTGTTGGAAGAGATGCGACTGAAGATCACTTCCACGGATGACCAGATCAGAACTGTCATCCGGTCACTAACTAATGTGGATCAGGTAAAGGGAAAGAAATTTAAATTTTGAAGATAATGCTGTCATTTCAAGTATTTTTATGGTTTATTGTCCAGATTTAAGGAATAAATTAAATAAGGTATTAACTTTTTTATACTCCAATTTCTTTCTTTCCAGTAAATGCCAATTTATAAACATATCATATATATATATATATAAGGCAATTATACAAGAGAGAGAGAGAGAGTATGTGTGTTTTTTGTTTGTTTGTTTGTTTATTAACTGCCTTCATTTCCTAACTATTTGTTTTATTATAGGATGGGAGAGCATCACTTTTAAATGCACAAGAGGCCATTGCGGAATTGTTTGCACGCTTCCAGGATATTAAGGTAAGTTAAGCTACAATTTGAAAAGCCTGTTTTTTATAATACACAAATGTTTATTAGATCTATTTTCTTACTGAATCATCTTTTACATAGTTTTTCACTTATAGATGTGTATTTTATTATCATAACTAATAGCTATAAGAAGTATTTATCAGTAGCACATCTTGTTCTGATGAATGAAAACTATACTCCTATGTAGACTTAAACTTTAATCTTTGGATTATATTACATTAGCAGATATAACAAACAATACAGTTAATTTATACCAACACTGATAGATTTAGGATAATTTGTAGTTAGGAAAGCCAACATTCATATAGTACCTATTACAATGTGCAGGAAAGAGCAGGAGAATCTGAGCAGAGAGTAAAAGACATAAAACAGCTGGACACAGCCAAGACTAACTCAAAAGAATCTCACGACCTCTATCACTACACTCAATCACCTTCAGATGTTAGTAGAAGGAGTTCAAAAATTACAGTAAGTAAGGACCTATCAGGTTTAATTTTTATTGTTTGTGCCATATGGAAAAGCACTTGATGTTCCATTTTGTTCCAGTCCTCAGTATGTGAATGTTGATAAAATTTAGGAATGAATATTAGATTCATAAAAAATTGCAGTGAATTATTAATCAAGGATGAAAAGGTAATGTTATACCTAAATCTTCACAATAGAATGTTGTAGGAATTGCACTGTCAAATTGTCTTTCAGTGAGTCAGTCCAGAACTTCTCTTAAAACTTTGTTTTAAGCACATCAGTTGATAAGAAAAAGCTTCATACACAAATGTTTTTTGATTAGCTGGTAATCTTTAACAATTTCAGAGCACTAAAGGCTAGAAGAGAATATGGAGAGATTGCAACTCTGTTGCAAGGAGTGATGAATGTCCTTGAACACCTCAATCGTTATAAACACATTCCACAAGTGGCAGACTTAGCCCGGCAGGTGAGAGAGCACTACAGCCAGTATTTTTCAAATTCATCAAGGACTTTCAGCAAATTTATGAATCTGAATTCCTAAGCAGTTTTAAGTTATATTAATGAAGTTTAATTGAAATGTGTAATATTCATTATTTTTTATGAAGATAGTATAAGTAATAACCAATTCATAATATGATTACCTAAAGTTCAGCTTCTTGCTGATTGGGAAGGCAATTGCTCTGCACATATATACTCTTCCCATCTGAAGAGTTTTTTTCTCATTTTATTTATATATTTATATTCATTGTATATTTGATATGATTTTCAGGTTGAACAAATCAGAGGAGAGCTTGAGAAGCAGATTTTGGAAGATTTCCACAGAGCCTTTCATGGACCAAATGCTCGTCGTTTTGCTCCAACAAAGGAGTTGGCAGAAGCCTGCCTTGTGGTTTCAGAACTAGATCCCAAAGTCAAGTAAGTATTTGATAAGATAATTTTCTTATCCTACTGAAGTCAGCTATCAACTGAGACTGGAAGTATATTCAAGACATCTTCCTTTCATATACTTAATAGAAATAAGATTTAACCCCGAAAGTCCAGGGGCATTCATCTGATTTTATTTTTTTTACTTTTGATGTTCATTCTAGGAAGCTTTAATTAAATATAGCCTCTCAAAACTAGCAAGTAGTTTTCCTATATTCTTCACTGTCAATAGGAGGTAGGAAGAGTTCGGAAGTAATTCTGGTACTTTTTGCAAAAGTCTTCCTTCACTACCTCTCTATATCCATCCCCATTCTTCCATATCCTTATGTCCCCTTCTCTTCCTAAGCCAGTCTTACAAAAATGTCATGGCCATTGGTCTGACAAGTCATTACATGTAGTAAGTATAGGATAAGAATTATTGGAATATAGGGAATATACAACTTCAGCAGACATAGTCACTCCCCTGTTGTTCCCCAATATCTCCCTGAAACGTACACCTTGTGACATTGTTCCCACTTCTTTTTATGTGAATGACTGTAGTGATTATGAAATAAGAATTGAATGTAGTAATTATGAAATAGAAATTTAATGTACTATTTAAGAAATAGCAATTCTTGCCCATGTGCCCATCATACGGTGTTATGTTTTACATTTTAACTTGTTTTCTGGGCAGCAAAGCAAGGTTGAGAAATTCTGTTCACAAAAATACATACACAGGCACACACTAAAGGGGAGGGCAGGAGGAGAAAGCATAACCATAAGGTGACTTATTTTCATGATACCATATCTTTTTGCTTTCACAGGAAAACCATCATTGAGGATGTCATCAAGACACAATTAGCTGAATACGAAGTGCTCTTTGCTGGAGGAGAGAGTGATGCTTGGTTAACAAAGGTAGACCTAAGGCGCAAGTGGCTCCTGAAAACAGCGGTGGAGTTTGAGAAGACCCTTGCTGCAATGTTCCCTCCATCTTGGCAGGTGTGTAGTGTCAGGTTTACTGCTTTTGAAACTAAGTTGAGAGTCAGTTTCTGCACTGTGTGGTCAATCTGTGATTCTTTTTTTTTTTCTCTCTCTCTCTCTCTTGACCATTATTGTTCTTTGTTTATACATTTATGGATTGAAAGTTGGAAGTATACATTCTATACTACATTTCCATGTTTATCTTCTTACTTGATTCCTGTATTCTGAAAAGATTACTTTTAATTTTAGGTACCAGCACGTTTAGCACTAGCATTTTGTGAGGTCACAAGATCTCAGCTGTCTCATGCAATGGAGTTGAGACCACAGGACATTGATGTTGGCACATTGCTACATGCTCACAAGGTTTGTATATTTTTATCTTATTTTAAAGTGAAAAAGTGACCCATACATACATATAGACAGTATGACAGTGATAACTGGAAAGAGATATTAATCCTAATGACAATTCCATCACGTCAAGAAAGAATTTGGCTAGAGGGGAAGGTGACGTGAACATGGTGTTATGGGAAATTCTGGCTACGGGTCTGGGGGACACGAACTTGTCATTGTTAGCATTTTGGCTGAAGACCGGGGAACAGAAAACACTTCCTAGGAGTGCACAAACCTCTTGGAGGGTGATTAGACTTATTTGGTGTATAGGAAGGGGCTTTTGCATTATTCTCATCGATTAAAGTGTGAGGAATGTGGTGTCTTTAAGCTATGACTGGAAGAGCGCTAGTTCCATTTCCATGCTGAGCATCCTATTCATGACTGCCATGACTGGCACTGTAGGTTATGTTACAGGAAACTGAATATTACAAAAAAAAAAATGTTACACATTTTTATTTTTATTGCACTTAGTTATGGACTACCTAGAAGTGATGATATGTTGTCTATGCAAGGAAAATAGTCTATTACCTTCAAGATAAAGCAAATCAAATAACAAATGTGGGTATTGAAAACAGCAAAAAAGCTAAAAATGCTTATGCATAAGAAAAAAATAACATGGCAAAGGGGAGGCATAGAATCACTGCACACAGGTATACATGTGCACCCAGCCTACAAGCAGCACACCCATTAGAGTGGTCGCTCATGTAAGCCTAATATCCATATATTGGTCCATGTGATTGCTGTGAAGCAACTGGATCCAAGGGGTCAAGGAAAGAAAGGGAAAAGGAGAAAAATTAGAGAAATTAAAAACAATAAGTATAAAATCATCTACAAAACCATAAAACTGATACATATATTGGAAGTGAGAGTGAACAAGTTTCAGTGGAATATGCTTTTTTTCCTGCAGATCATGTCTGAGCTTGAAAGCCTCCTTGTGAGAAAATACACCAGCTTCCAGCCTCATGACCGCACCCCAAAGTCGTCCGTGTCTACCAATCCTTTTGTGGAGGTAAGATGAATATACAAGAATTACTTTAGATGTATCTGTGCACGTGCATGTGCATGATGATTGTTTTTTTATTGTTTTTTTTTAGAATGATACTTTCATGTGAGATTACCTTCCATATAATTTTATTGTTATTTCAAGGATGAGCAGTCCAGCAAAACAGAAAATACAAACCCATTCGAGGAGGCTGCATCCACAGTAGAGACGCTAGTTTCACCCTTCAGTGGAGCAGTGTGCCGTTGCTTCCAGCCTTACCTCAAGATTTATATAGAAAGCATGGACAAGTATGTTATGCTAATGGCAATGTTTAATAGTAATATGATATATGAATAACAATTGTGAAGGTAAATTCTTTGTGTGTTAGGAAAAATAAATGCCATGTGATTCTTTGGGTTAAGTCAGAACACTTCTTTTGCAGGAGACTGAATGAACAGATTGAGAAGTTTGCCAATGATATGAAGAGTTACAAGTTTGAACACATTGATGCAGAGGAATCTAATGTTGTACCTTGCTGTGGAGAGCTGTTCACCATATACAAAGTAGGTTGATATACACTATTTGCTTAAATTTATGAATATAGAGTAAGGCATTAATATTTTTGTCATTATCAGTATTATCATGACTTGACAGCATCAATTAAAATACATTCATTAATGATTTTGGTTTTGTTATAGAATGTCCTTGTTGAATTCTCGCCTTGGTCCTGGAGAGTATGGGGGAGGTTGTATTACAGGAAAATTGCACCCACCAAAGTGCTCAAGGTTGGAGCACATCCAATGCCTAACATAATGAAGGACATTAACATGAAGGAGCTCACTGCTGTGTTGGCACAAGTAAGATATTCATAATACTCAGTAGAATGTGGTGATATGTTATTGTATTAAACAAAGATTTTGTCCTTTATTTTGTCATCTTTTGTTTGATAAACAATGCTACATATCTCAATGTACAATGTGAAGGTCCAGACACTATGGCGTGAAGGCGACACTCCAAAGCTGAGTGAGGATGATGTACGAAGAGTGTGCTCAGTGCTTGTGTCAGCTGAGTACTGTGAAGAGATGACAGGAAGGTTGGAGGCCAAGTTGAAGGAGAGAAGTCTGCCTTCATTAGTGCACTCCATCAGCCTTACCCATGAACAGGACTTGTTCCATGCAGTGCTGGCTCAGGTGTGTAATAGAGTGGAGAGGAGGAGGTAGGATGGAGAAGGAAATGAAAGTAAAGAAAATGCAGAAGAAGAGAGAATGTAGATCATTAAAAATGAATAAATTATGTACCTCAGGCTCTTAAACTACATGTAAGAACTAAAAGAGTAAGAGTGTGGTGTCTCAATAATTCTAGTTCCATTTATACTCAGCAAACTTCACTATCTTTTTCTATGATGTAATAGAGTATCATTATCAGAGGTTTAATTGGTTTACTAAGTTACACTGCAGTAACAAAGAAGTTCAATATAAATACTATTTATGTCTGTACCATATATTTACCTAACACAAATCATAATGCTGTCTGTACTTCTTAAATAAAGAAATAACTGATATTAAACTGAAATATCTTTAAAATGGAAACCTGATAGAAATTGTTAATGCTGAGTCTCGGATTTGCAGTGTATAGCCCTCCTTGTGGCTCACGAGGAGAGCCTTTGTGACCCTGCTCTATCCTCCATGACCAAGATCAATTGGATGATGGAGCAGACGGGTGACCAGAGCCCTTATGTTACAGCCATCTCCCAGCACATTTCATCATCCATTCCTCTGATCCGGCACAACCTTCACACTTCCCGAAAATACTTCACAAGGTAGGTGACTTGTAGATGAATTAATATTTAACCTCAACTGAGGTCTGGGTGTTTTCTAGATTGTTGGCTCATGTTCTTTTTAGACATATTCTTTAAATACTAGACAGATTCTTTAAATATCTGGTGTAATTATTGCTTTGATATAATCTATATGATATTAGGAGATGTTTGATAGTTTTATTTAATATTAATGTACTTACCAGTGTAATGTTTCCATCAGTACATAATATTAGTTGACATGATGGAAGTAAAAAAAATTTTTCCTTTCGGCAGATTTTGTGACAAGTTAGCAGCTGCAATTCTGAACAAATTTGTCCAACAGGTATGTATAGACCCTCATTTAGCAATGTAATGCACAATGAAGATTGTTTTTACAGCATTTGATTGTGACTGAACTTAATGAGATCTAGGGGTAAGTAATTTTTCCATCAAATAGTGTCCTCATATAATAATGTTTTTCTGTTTATAAATTTCATTCAAGTCTCTTTGCCTACAGGTATACAAGTGCCGTCCAATTAATAGCGTTGGGTGTGAGCAGTTACTTCTTGACTGCCATGCACTTAAGGCTGTCATGTTACAGTTACCTGTTGTAGCATTGCAGGTAATACCTTTTGTTTGTTTATACAGAAAGACTACATTTTTTTAAAGATCTGACATTTTGCATGTGGTTTAACTTTCAACCAATTTTTGTGTATGTGTTGTAATTCATATAGATATTGGTAAGATGTCACAATTTTCAAAGTTACCATCATGTGCAGATGCGGCGTGACCCTCCCCAGACATACACGCGAATGGTTGGCAGAGGAATGGCACGAGCAGAATTGGTACTGCAGGTAGGTGTGAGTCAGCAGCAGCCAAGACAGAATTATGATATAAATACCTCTGGATAGAAGTATATGGAGTTATAGTGTAGTGACTAATATCCTAGAGTGGAATAAAATGTTATTGGAGATAAATGAGGCTCATGATTGTCTTTTAAAATGAAATTAGATATTGAAGATGGGTGATAAGTGAAATCCACGATGCACTTTGATTTGCTACACCATTTACCTTGATTAATTTAAGGAGGGAGAAGAGATCTGAAGATATATCTGACGTTATTAGAATTGGGTATAAGGAATTGATACTAGTAAGACACTCGGAGAAATGATGGGGCATTGAAAATGTGTAGAGAAAGTAGTTACTAAACTACATGAAAAGATATGGCGTTTGTGATTTATTTCCTACGTAAGTTATGTTTCTCTCATAGATAGAAAGTTTAACTGGAAACCTAATTTTATATATTTATTTATTTCTATTGTGTTTATCAATTCTGATCACAGTAAAATCATTTAAAATAAATGAAATAGAAATGGAATAACTCTCTTTCAAATTTTATTTCATAGAAATTTTACCTTGCAGGTTGTGATGGGTGAATATGCAACTCACAATGACCTTGTTGATAAGTTCATCCGTTTACTACCTGACGCAACAATTGCAGACTTCCAGAAGGTAAGCAGGGTTTTATTCTTTTTAGTTGATATAAGATATTTATTTATCAACTTTTTATATCCTTATATGTATCTAATTAAAATTTATTTTTTTTTTTATGTATGTTAGTATGCTGAATTACTATATGCAGCATAATGAGAAATATATGTAAGAGCAATATATGTACAATGCATGATAAAAGGTTTGCATTGCCAGCCAGTTCTATTTGTTGAACTTTGGACTATACAAAAAATTCCAGGACAGGAGCATATACAACCAATAGCAGAATTTTGTGACAAGAAGGAATACTTGAGGATAAAGCATTTAATGTGTCAATTGTTAGACTGTGACAGGAAAAGGACATGTCACTTTCTCTATTTTGTTATGAACATTGTGTGACATCTTCATGTGCAGTACAGGTTATCTTTTTTAACCCATTGGACATGGGGGACGTGCTTTCACATCATGACAAATAATCACAGATGATGGGTGACACCTCAGGACATATATGTCATCATTATGTGACTGAATGCTAGACTCACTCTATTGTTGAGTGCAACACCTGTCCATGTACAGCTTTACAAAAAAATTACCCGACAAAGTCTGATTTTATGCCAGGGACTGTTGGAAAGAAATTTGATTTTAAGCAGGCAAACAGTTATTGTAAATAAATGACACATACACAGCAAGGGATAACCATTGTTATCCTTTAAATGGTTAATGTTATTATCTCTAAATTAGTAGCCTTTGAACTTGTCTTTAGGTGCCTTTTCGATAGAGTTATAGTGTGTTTCTGTCCCCATAGATTTGTTATAGGGCTGGGTCCAAATTTTGACATATATTTTTCAGTGACAGTAGCCAGAATTCATAATTTATTTTTAAATGGACATACAAACAGGTAGATAGTGACAAAATCGTAGACAAAACCATAGAGAGATTTTTTTCCTGCTTCAACTTGTAATTGTTAAATTCACACCTAACAGGTACTAGAGATGAGAGGTGTAAAGGACCGTGCCTCAGTGCTAGAGCTCTACCGACAACGGACCCTCGGAAATTCAACAGAATCTCCTCACCGAGCACAAGTTTCACCAGGCAGCAGCAGCCAAGTAGCAGCACAAATCCCACCCAGCCAAGCCTCACCTGTGGTCAGCTCAACAGCCAACTCAAGCCCAGAGCACGAGATGAGCAAGATTGCACGGCTAGAGAGGATGTTGAAGTCGCGCAGACTGATATCCTAAAGGGAATTTCGGTTGTGAGCAGAAAGGAACAAAAAGGAATGTGCATTAGTACTGGGATTCTGATTAGATTTCTTTGTTTGGTTTTAAGTCTATCACTTCCTTGTGTATTGAAATTATCAATGAAGTTACAAGCACTAGAATGAACCTCTATGACTGATTCCAAAGAAGTAATCCGAATTCAGATTGTGTAACTTGGCCAAAGTTAATAGCTCAGAATAGGCTTTATTGCTTTTATTACTGGTACTGGCAGAAGTTATTTATGAACAAATCATTTGTTTTATGTATAAAATGTGTTTGTAAATCATGAAGTATGTACTTAGTGCAGACATTTTGTAAATGTTGATTATGTAAATATGTATGCTGTTAGTTTATGAAATATTTAATCATAATAAAACATTCTTATAATACAACTGTGCCTTTGAAAAACACAAGAACTAAATCTGTTCTTCAAGATAGGAGTAAATTCCTAGGTAGTCATTCCCGTCAGAAACAGATTTGTCTTCACAAGAATGTTGAGAAGCAGGACATATCAGAAAAGAGTAAATTATACTGATATCATTGTAGGTTTCATGTATCTGTAAACATGTTACAACAATCACCATCTCATGTTCATGGGAATAGTACAGTCTTTGGGCTACTGTTTAAGAGTAGAAGCATAAATAGCACTTGGTATGTTTTTCATGTATCTTTATCATCATATCTTCAATTTTGTATACATTGCACGTAATATGGAACATAATAGACGAGGTGTGCTTCTTCAGGTTGTAAAAGATGGTTTTGTGGATTCAACAAGCTTCATAAATGAGAGATCATAACTTTACTTCTACTTAGTATTAACCTATATATTCAAGAACTGAATACATTTAATGTTGCTTAGTACATGATAGGGAAGAAAATTGGAGTGGTTATAAATTACAAAAGGGAAAATGTTTTGTAAAGATTGAGTATTTGCTATACTAATAAGAAGTAAGGGAACTGATTATTGTTAAATACTGTCAGACTTTCAAAGAATTACACATTCACATATATAGCCCTGTTTATAATTTAGGCTAATTAAAATATTTGATTTGATACCAGAGACACAAACAACAATTAAATGGAAATAAGTTTATGTATTATATCATGTAAGTTGTCTTTTTAGAGTAGATTTGATTTTTTACCAGGAATCTTCTAAGGAAACAGAAACCAAGGAAGGCAAAGAACATGCTATGACATGGCATGATTGATTACTTGGATGTGAGAGGAGGAAGAAACAGGCAATATAATCTGTCTCCTCCAGTATCTGGAATGTATCTGGATCCCCATCTTTGCAGTCGCTCTGATCATTCACACCTTGTCACAATTACATCTAAGTCCAAAGCTCGTGCATTATCAACCCTAAATGACCTCACTGGCAAACCCATTCCTGCCGAATCTCATTCCTCTCTTAATACTTGTACTGGAACTGTTTCCGTCTTCCAGACTGATTGTCCTATCTACAACAAGAACTGGTCAGACTGTGAAAATAACTTACTTGCCTGTTGATTATGATGCAATGGCAGTACAGTATTACACTATTCCTCCCAGAGACCAGTGTAAGTCCCATATTAATATTGCCAAGATTAGCTTCTGTAGATATGACCAAACCCATGAAGTTTATAGTGGTGGAGAGTCTTGCTATGTCAGACCATATTGAACCCTTCTTTGTCAGTGTCAGAAATGGGGTTTTGACCACCCAGCCAAACAGTGTAGCTCCACAACCTGTTTACTCTATGTGCCCAACCTGTTCATGACCGTTCAAATGGCTCTGCTCACTCACTTACATATGCCAATTGTGGTGACTCCCATAATATA